ACAGCGGGAACACAGAGAACTACATGACAGATGACGGCTGACAGCGGGAACACAGAGAACTACATGACAGATGATGGCTGACAGCGGGAACACAGAGAACTACATGACAGATGATGGCTGACACAGCGGGAACACAGAGAACTACATGACAGATGATGGCTGACAGCGGGAACACAGAGAACTACATGACAGATGATGGCTGACAGCGGGAACACAGAGAACTACATGACAGATGATGGCTGACAGCGGGAACACAGAGAACTACATGACAGATGACGGCTGACAGCGGGAACACAGAGAACTACATGACAGATGATGGCTGACAGCAGGAACACAGAGAACTACATGACAGATGATGGCTGACAGCGGGAACACAGAGAACTACATGACAGATGATGGCTGACAGCGGGAACACAGAGAACTACATGACAGATGATGGCTGACAGCAGGAACACAGAGAACTACATGACAGATGATGGCTGACAGCAGGAACACAGAGAACTACATGACAGATGATGGCTGACAGCAGGAACACAGAGAACTACATGACAGATGATGGCTGACAGCGGGAACACAGAGAACTACATGACAGATGATGGCTGACAGTGGGAACACAGAGAACTACATGACAGATGACGGCTGACAGTGGGAACACAGAGAACTACATGACAGATGATGGCTGACAGCAGGAACACAGAGAACTACATGACAGATGACGGCTGACAGTGGGAACACAGAGAACTACTGAGATGGCTGACAGCAGGAACACAGAGAACTACATGACAGATGATGGCTGACAGCAGGAACACAGAGAACTACATGACAGATGATGGCTGACAGTGGGAACACAGAGAACTACATGACAGATGATGGCTGACAGCGGGAACACAGAGAACTATGTGACAGATGATGGCTGACAGCAGGAACACAGAGAACTACATGACAGATGATGGCTGACAGCAGGAACACAGAGAACTATGTGACAGATGATGGCTGACAGCAGGAACACAGAGAACTATGTGACAGATGATGGCTGACAGCAGGAACACAGAGAACTACATGACAGATGATGGCTGACAGCAGGAACACAGAGAACTACATGACAGATGATGGCTGACAGCAGGAACACAGAGAACTATGTGACAGATGATGGCTGACAGCAGGAACACAGAGAACTACATGACAGATGATGGCTGACAGCGGGAACACAGAGAACTATGTGACAGATGATGGCTGACAGCAGGAACACAGAGAACTATGTGACAGATGATGGCTGACAGCAGGAACACAGAGAACTACATGACAGATGATGGCTGACAGTGGGAACACAGAGAACTACATGACAGATGATGGCTGACAGCAGGAACACAGAGAACTATGTGACAGATGACGGCTGACAGCAGGAACACAGAGAACTACATGACAGATGACGGCTGACAGTGGGAACACAGAGAACTACATGACAGATGACAGCTGACAGTGGGAACACAGAGAACTATGTGACAGATGATGGCTGACAGCAGGAACACAGAGAACTACATGACAGATGATGGCTGACAGCAGGAACACAGAGAACTACATGACAGATGACGGCTGACAGCAGGAACACAGAGAACTACATGACAGATGATGGCTGACAGCAGGAACACAGAGAACTACATGACAGATGATGGCTGACAGCAGGAACACAGAGAACTATGTGACAGATGACGGCTGACAGCAGGAACACAGAGAACTACATGACAGATGACGGCTGACAGCAGGAACACAGAGAACTATACATGACAGATGATGGCTGACAGCAGGAACACTACAGAACTATGTGACAGATGATGGCTGACAGCAGGAACACAGAGAACTACATGACAGATGATGGCTGACAGACAGCAGAACACAGAGAACTATGTGACAGATGATGGCTGACAGCAGGAACACAGAGAACTACATGACAGATGATGGCTGACAGCAGGAACACAGAGAACTATGTGACAGATGATGGCTGACAGCAGGAACACAGAGAACTACATGACAGATGACGGCTGACAGCAGGAACACAGAGAACTATGTGACAGATGATGGCTGACAGCAGGAACACAGAGAACTATGTGACAGATGACGGCTGACAGCAGGAACACAGAGAACTACATGACAGATGACGGAACTGACAGCAGAACACAGAGAACTATGTGACAGATGATGGCTGACAGCAGGAACACAGAGAACTACAGATGATGGCTGACAGCAGGAACACAGAGAACTATGTGACAGATGATGGCTGAACACAGAGAACTACATGACAGATGACGGCTGACAGCAGGAACACAGAGAACTATGTGACAGATGATGGCTGACAGCAGGAACACAGAGAACTATGTGACAGATGATGGCTGACAGCAGGAACACAGAGAACTACATGACAGATGACGGCTGACAGCAGGAACACAGAGAACTACATGACAGATGATGGCTGACAGCAGGAACACAGAGAACTGACAGATGATGGCTGACAGCAGGAACAGAGAGAACTATGTGACAGATGATGGCTGACAGCAGGAACACAGAGAACTATGTGACAGATGACGGCTGACAGCAGGAACACAGAGAACTATGTGACAGATGACGGCTGACAGCAGGAACACAGAGAACTATGTGACAGATGATGGCTGACAGCAGGAACACAGAGAACTACATGACAGATGACGGCTGACAGCAGGAACACAGAGAACTATGTGACAGATGATGGCTGACAGCAGGAACACAGAGAACTATGTGACAGATGACGGCTGACAGCAGGAACACAGAGAACTATGTGACAGATGATGGCTGACAGCAGGAACACAGAGAACTATGTGACAGATGACGGCTGACAGCAGGAACACAGAGAACTATGTGACAGATGATGGCTGACAGCAGGAACACAGAGAACTATGTGACAGATGATGGCTGACAGCAGGAACACAGAGAACTACATGACAGATGACGGCTGACAGCAGGAACACAGAGAACTATGTGACAGATGACGGCTGACAGCAGGAACACAGAGAACACAGAGAACTATGTGACAGATGATGGCTGACAGCAGGAACACAGAGAACTATGTGACAGATGATGGCTGACAGCAGGAACACAGAGAACTACATGACAGATGACGGCTGACAGCAGGAACACAGAGAACTATGTGACAGATGACGGCTGACAGCGGGAACACAGAGAACTATGTGACAGATGACGGCTGACAGCAGGAACACAGAGAACTATGTGACAGATGACGGCTGACAGAGGGAACACAGAGAACTATGTGACAGATGATGGCTGACAGCAGGAACACAGAGAACTATGTGACAGATGATGGCTGACAGCAGATGATGGCTGACAGAGGAACACAGAGAACTATGTGACAGATGATGGCTGACAGCAGGAACACAGAGAACTATGTGACAGATGATGGCTGACAGCAGGAACACAGAGAACTAGAGACAGACTGATGGCTGACAGCAGGAACACAGAGAACTATGTGACAGATGATGGCTGACAGCAGGAACACAGAGAACTATGTGACAGATGATGGCTGACAGCAGGAACACAGAGAACTATGTGACAGATGATGGCTGACAGCAGGAACACAGAGAACTACATGACAGATGACGGCTGACAGCAGGAACACAGAGAACTACATGACAGATGATGGCTGACAGCAGGAACACAGAGAACTACATGACAGATGATGGCTGACAGCAGGAACACAGAGAACTATGTGACAGATGATGGCTGACAGCAGGAACACAGAGAACTACATGACAGATGATGGCTGACAGCAGGAACACAGAGAACTACATGACAGATGATGGCTGACAGCAGGAACACAGAGAACTACATGACAGATGATGGCTGACAGCAGGAACACAGAGAACTATGTGACAGATGATGCAGGAACACAGAGAACTACATGACAGATGATGGCTGACAGCAGGAACACAGAGAACTATGTGACAGATGATGGCTGACAGCAGGAACACAGAGAACTATGTGACAGATGATGGCTGACAGCAGGAACACAGAGAACTATGTGACAGATGATGGCTGACAGCGGGAACACAGAGAACTACATGACAGATGATGGCTGACAGCAGGAACACAGAGAACTACATGACAGATGATGGCTGACAGCAGGAACACAGAGAACAAATAACTTGGTTGTCTATTCAATGATCAGTCAAGTAACTGGTTGTCAGTGCTGGTTTACTGTTGACCGGTGAATGTCACATGTCTGCTGTACTGTAAGACCTGGCCAAGCCACTACGGCAGAGACTTATGGCAGGAATGGGAACCTGGGTTCTGGGGTCCCATTGGGGAAAAGGTGGGGGAGGGGGTAGATCCAACGCTTCCCTAGCAAGCATGTCCTACAGGTCAACTGATTAGACAAGTTTCTTTTGAAGTCAAAGTCCACCTGCCTGAGAGGTGAGGAATGATCAGTTTGTTTCGAAATCAGCCAGATCTGTAAAATGGGTTTGCATGCAAAACATAAGTTCTGAAATGACTGAAGTCCAGAAGTGAATGAACAACCAGAACTTTCTGCGGCAGTTTATAGCTGGGGAATTTGAAGAAACGGAAAAAGAAGGAGAAGAACAAAGGCAAAGAAATGTCTGACAACTGCTTGTAACAACAATTATAAACCAAAGATTCCCCGTGTGGGTTCCAGGGCCCTATTATGGGAAAGACTGAGGTAATGAGTTCAAATCTTGATGAGAGAAGCTAACAGTGCCAGACTGGATTCCATCCATCATATAAAAAAAAAAGGAAGCACAGGATAGAATGGAGTGGAGACAAGACTGCAAGCCCTGTGTCATATATCAAGGCAAAACAGGATGACAATGATGAGACAGTTCAGCGGAGTCACCTCCTTAGTGACCTGACACAAATACTACTGGGACTGAGACAGTTCATCTGAAGCAGAGCACTCGTTCAGGCGTCATCCATCCACGTGCATCACCTCAACTCACCGTATCCACCGACAGATCAATGTAATTTCTTGGCAAGTAAAAGCTGTCTGCGAATGAGATGCCAATCTCTGACTGCTGAGGGCAGAGTGAACGAAATCTGTATGCCTTATTGATGAGCTGATCAAGTATGACTCCCAGCTCTTCGTTTCTGTACAGGTCACACTGCTCTACTGCAAACAGTTCGTGTACCTGCAAGATACAGCAATGACAGTAGCTAGCATAATCCTTGATATCACCTGCATGAAACAAAGTGCAATAATTATGTAACTAGTTCTAACTCACGGGAAACAAAGTGCTATAACTCCCACACTAGTTCTAGCACACCATAAACAAAGTGCTATAACTCTCACACTAGTTCTAGCATTCCATAAACAAAGTGCTATAACTCTGGCATCAGTTCTAGCACACAGGAAACAAAGTGCTATAACTCTGGCATCAGTTCTAGCTCACAGAAAACAAAGTGCCATGACTCTGGCACCAGTTCTAGCACGCAGGATACAAAGTTCTATAACTCTACCACCAGTTCTAGCACACAGGATGCAAAGTGCTATAACTCTGGCACCAGTTCTAGCACACAGGATACAAAGTTCTATATATAACTCTAGCACTAGTTCTAGCACACAGGATACAAAGTGCTATAACTCTGGCACTTCTTTCAGCACACATGAAACAAAGTGCTAAACACTATATCTATGGAGCTATTTCTAAGATGCAGGAAACAAAGTGCTAAACACTATATCTATGGAGCTATTTCTAAGATGCAGGAAACAAAGTGATATACCAGTAATCCTAGTTTTAACAAATGGAAGCAAAACAAATATACAACTATTAGGACAAAACACCTTACCTGCATCTGGGGAAACCTGATTAAGGGCAGCAACTTCTTGGCATTCTCCAGATAGTTCTCAATATGTTCCTCGCAGTCCAACCACTGGATCAAGGCTTTGAACAGCATGTACTCCCTCTGGATGACAAGGTCCTTGTTTTTCAGCATGTCAGTGACAAAGTCAATGTCCATGTGCTCCCATTCGTGGGAGGCCAAGATGTACTCGGCATTCCAGGCAATGGTTTTAGAGCACTGGGTGATCAGCTCTTCCATGTGAAGAGCTTTGGACCAGGAGTACCAGCTCAAAGCATTTTTGACTAGCGGTGACCTGCCGAGTAGTTAACAAACATTTCATTATTGGTTAGTGATTAGTGAGGACCGTCATAACAGCACTTCAGACAGATCCATGGGTGCTTCGATCTCCTCAAAAGCTCCGCAGGCATAGAATGACCGATGACGCCTGTTCTGTGTTAATTAATCAACAGTCTTGTCCCATTAGTGAAATGTTCATTCTTGGAACTCCAGGCTGCACCCTCATGTCCATCAGCCTAGACAGGGGTAGGAGTCATGCTCTTTGACGTGTTTGTCTTCTCAGTAAGTGCTGCGCATAGCACTGATAACAACATCTGCCAGATTATCTGCACACTCATTGCCACGTACACGAGCATAACCTGGCACAAAGATGAAAGCTAGACCAGCCATTTATGAAGTGCTTAGTGTTGCAATGTATTTATATCTGATGAAGCCAGCCTGGATTTTCTGAAGCTTATTTACTGACTCACTAAGTATTCATGTGTGTGTGAACTCTAGAGTACCCAGCCATACAAGTGCCCTTGTTACAGTCACAGTTTCTATTGTGAGGCTAATAGTTGTAACAGCTATGGCGTCATTCATCTGGGTTTTCTTCTTGAGTTCACTGTAAATGTCCATGCACTTTGCTTGTCCAGAATTACTGAACTATCTGTGCAAACAACAGCATTACCTTCATCTGTGTTTTCATCAATTCAAATTTCACTGATGGTTAAAAAGTCATGGCTTGTTTTCATGCCTTCACCATGTTTGCTCCGGTCCAGAAAAATGTTGAATGAATGCTGAAATAAGAATCAACATCACAGCACTCGGGACACCCCCATCTTCAGCAGCAAGCATAGTGTTCCTGTACTAGAGACAAAGCAGAGGGGGTAACTTGTAGTGGAGGAAAGAGAAGAGGTAACTATAAAGGATAATATGGAAATATGCTCCTTGAAATCTCCTCGACTCCGAACCTACAAGAGCTCTAGACAATGTTACGTGGCGAGTGGGAGCCAAAACCCAACCTTTTGCTGCCTCAGTAAAAAAAGTTTGTTTAGGCAGGGGTAAGATCAAAAATATCTCACCCTGGCGGGAATCTGTGTGGGGTCTAATATAGTGTAACAGTAAAACCTAGGCACACTAACTAAAATAACAAGAATGTAAGTCGACAAATACAGAAACTTTATTTACTTGATGACATATAACAATAATACTGGATGACACACTCCAAACACTAAGTATACTAAAGTACTACTAACTGAAGGTATACGAGCAGGCCAGCAGAAAACTAACCAAGCAACTAGTAAACCAACGAATAACAAAATACTGACAGCTACTAGTAGACCAACAAATCAGCTATAGCCACCTGCCATCAAACTATCTCTTAGCAAGAATGTACGATGGAAATCAAATCTAACACAATCTAACCAATTGAAACATACAGTGAGATCAGCCAGGGAAATCAGTCAGACAACTGGTCTCACCTTGTGGTCGCCTACACCCATAAAGCAGAGCTATAACAGCTGGTTAGGTCTCCACGGGGTGCGTCCGGAGGTCAAATTGCTTGCTGAAAGTTTAAACAAAGTCTTTTATACCCAGACTTTTTTCGCGTTACCGTCTGAACCTAATAGCTGTTCCTGTTGCCTCTTTGTCATTTTAAAGCCAGATTAAATCAAAATCGTTGAGCTGCTAAACAGTAGTCTTCGTCGTTTCCAGCCTATCACATTCCTATTTCAATGGTATCAGTAACAGTCTGATTGTATGTCTGTGTCACCTTTCGGCTGAGTGTCTAATGTCGGCCAGACCCCCTTGTTAATCATCGCAGCACCATTCTCCTCAGACTGTGATGACTTATTTATGCATCCACACTGTTCACTCACTTCCAAAAGACCCCCTACAACATCTAGCTTGCCATGCATTAATTCACCATTAAGTAGTGCACAACCAGACAGTCTATCTGCTCTTCTTTTCCCAACACCCCAGCATTACCTGGAGAAAGTATCCAAAGCATGCTAACTGCACAGTACCTCTGAAGCAATGCTTGCCACTCAGCACAGAGCATACCTGTCTGCACCTTTCTCAACATGCTCTGTGAGACAGTTACAATTACGACATGTGTGTAGTGACTGCCTCCACCTCCATTCTCAAACTAGATGTGTGTGTGATATGCCAGGCTTTGTTACACATAGCATGTCCATTTACTTTTACTATGACCACGCAAGCACTTTTTTTCTGCCCCTCAACACAGAGCCCTCTGTATAGATAATCACATCACCTGGGAAGAAATTGTCATGAATCATGCGTTTCATTTCTGATACTGCAGTATCTGCTTGCCAGTCCGTGGACTAGACCCAATGTGATTAGAACCCCACTCAAGCACATAAGAAAACTAACCGTGTGTGCTCCACCATGTACTGAGTACACAAGTTCTTCAGAGAGGTGACGCTGTACTTGTCTGCCAGACACAAGATGCCCACTGCCGACTCCACACTGATGTTGACCTCGGCCGTGTACAGAAACCTCAGGAAAGTGTCAAAGTATGCCTGGCACTCGTCTGTCTCCTCCAGCTCAATCTCTGGAAGCCCTGCCTGGGTCCAGTTCTTGTTGTACAGCATTGTTCGAAACACTTCACTGGACTTGGCCAAAACAAATTTGTGGCCATAGTATTTTTCTTTTCCAATCTGATCAGACAATAAAGCAATATAAATAAGAGACTCCACTATGCTAACTAAACAGGCATGCTAGAATACATCTTCTTCTGTGATGGCCCTTATCAGAACAGCTGGCACAGCGTGCTGTGGTTTACAGCTAGGCTGTGATATTTCTGCCTTCTGGATCACCTCATTGGATTTTAGCAAACAATTAATTTGTTGTTTTTTATGTCATGCATAACAACCTGAAAGTCCTTACCTGCATAGGGCTGCAGGTTCACCAGGCTGGGCACTACAGGTGCTCTAGGTATAACTTCTACAGAGGTTAAACATGCTATCTCAGATCTGCTGTGTTGGGCCATTCAGACTGAAATTTATTTAATCTCAGGAACCTTCCAGGAAGGCTGATCTGATCAAATTGAATGATAAGGTATTGACTGAAAAATCCCAACCTGTGTGAGACATTCAACAGGACAATGACAAATGATAGCCTGTTTGAGTGCCAGGGGTAGGGGGACAAGCCTGCTGCTCCTCTAACAAGCATGTACTATGTTTGATTCTAAGTGGGAGTACATCTGTCAGAGAGGTGAGCAATCACATGTCAGCATAAAACTAAGCCAGGTCTGTAAAACAGGTATGCATGCAAAACTCAGTAACTGCAACAGGGCCAGAAGTGGATAAACAACCAGAATTATCGGCCATAGTTATTTGCTGGTGAACGGAAAGAAGAGGAAGAAGAAGAGAAACAAGAAGATACCAACACACATATTAGGTAGCAGGTTACATATCCTTACATAACCATTTGAACAGGATTTTTTGGATCTGCTCCAGTTTTATTCCCATCTTCTCTTCTTCTTTGCATTCACCAGCTGTAAACTCTGGTGGAAAGTTATGGTTGTTCGTCCACTTCTGGACTGCAGTCCTGTTTCAGAACCTGAGAGTTGCGTGTGTATCCGTTTGAAAGATCTGACAAATTTGAGTGTAGACTGTTGGTTCCTTGCCTCTCAGGCAGATGCACTCCGACTTCGAAGGAAGCACCCAATTAGTTGACTCTTACAACATGCTTTTGGGCAGGCAGTGGGTCTATTCTTGTTTTCCCTCTAATAGGACCTCGGAACCCACATGGGGGATTCCCATCTGAATTGTGACTCCCTGAGTCAGTAGGTGCTAATCTTTCAGGCTGCAGTGCTGGAAAAGGCTGCCCCCATGCACACAATATGATAAGAAAGAGGGTGAGAATGAAATAAATATCTCATTTTGGCAATGACATTAACATCACTGATATCTTGTTGTTGCAGCCTACATTCTCTATAAGTTAAGCTTCTACCCCCCCCCCCCCTTTTTTTTCCCTTTCTCTCTCCCCCCCCCCCCTTCCATGATACTGACTGACAAACCACCCACCTTGAGAATGACATCACTGATGTCCTGCTGGTTATAGAACTGGCCAACATTCTGTATGAAGTTCAGCTCATCTCTGAGAACTCGAATATTGTAGCAAGTCAGGCCAGTCTCCTGTGACAGTACTGTGGTGTCTCTATCTTCCATGCTCTGTGCAACAGGACAGATGACAGGGAAAGTGTGAGAACGACAGTGTGAGAGGGACAGTGTGAAAGGAACAGTGAGAGAGGGACAGTGTGAGAAGGACAGTGTGAGAGAGACAGTGTGAGAAGGACAGTGAGAGAGGGACAGTGTAAGAATGACAGTGTGTGAGGGACAGTGAGAGAAGGTCATTGTGAGAGGGACAGTGTGAGAGGGACAGTGTGAGAGGGACAGAAATAAACGGAGAAAGGATGACAGATCTGCGTGTACTGTTGTTTTTCCCTCAAATCTGCCCAGGCGTTATGTGCGCGAGCGCCCGCCTGTGTAATATCTTATCAATTAAAGTAACGGAACAAAATATGTGGAATGCTGAGATCAGGGCTTGACTGAAACTTGATCGGGCCGTAAGCTTTATAAAGCCTGAGACACCTACCTACCGTTCTAAATGACATCGGCTAATCTCCAGAAAGTTGTAACATATATAGGCATGTTAAATACACGGTTAATGCAACTATATTGTGTAATTTTGAAATGAAAAAAAAAATAATAAAGAATGTGTTTGTAAAATAACATAAATTATATTTTATAATCCTCTAAAAAGCTGGAAGTTACCACTTGAAACATCTGTTAAGAAAAATGTCAACTATGTTGAAGGATAATTGCTTTTAAAATAAATTAACATAACATTACATTTGTGGAACAGCAAACATTTTAGGCTTCTGTAGATTGTGAGGCCCTAAGTCAGGGCTATTTAACTGGCGACTCGCGGGTCCTATCCGGCACGCAGAAGCCTGGCAAGTGACCCGCGGATCATTGCCAAACTGTTCTGTCATACTGATCTCTATATGCTGCGGCTCAGGCCTGTGATCCGTGACAATACCCATTTTCAACATGTTGGTGCCTGGGTCAACTGATCTGAACAGCCTTGCCCTAAGCTGTGGCCTTGTTTAGCTAAATGCAGTTCTGACTGAAAGATGGGTACCCAGTTAAAATATGGCGAAGTCAGAAGTTAGCATCTCACCACTTACCTATTCGACAGGGCGCAGAAGGAGAAGTTAGTTATCAGTGTACTGGAAATAAACATGATAGTGAAGAGGATCGACTTTCCTGCACAAGGTCTGATCCCACATGACCCGTCTATTTCTACACAACAGCTAACCGCCTACAGAGAGCTTCGGTGACGGTCAGCGCGGGGTGCCAGGGAGATGCAGTTTTGGAGGAAGGTCTTCTTCACGTTCACCAGCTGTGAAAGTTTGTTTTTTTCTGGATGTTTTTTAAATTATTTTTAAAAAAAATAAAAAAAAGGACGGCGTGTGTGTGTGCGTCCGTGTGTGTCACAAAATGGCAAAAAATGTAATTAAAAAAATAAATAAAAAATAGACGAGGTGTGTCAGTGTGAGACAGACTGCAAACAAATTGTTTTTAAAAATAAACAGTCTGTGTGTGTGTGTGTGTGTGTGTGTGTGTCTGTGTCTCTAGAGAGAGAGAGAGAGAGGGGGGGGCGGTGGGAGAGAGAGAGAGCGCGCGCGCGAGACAGAAGGAGACAAAATTGTATAAACGTTAAAAAAAATTTAAATACAGAAAGTAGGTTTGTGGAAGTTGGGATGGAAAAGGGGGGGGGGGGGGAGAGAGGACAAAATGGTGAAACATTTTTTTAAAATAGAACCAAAAAAAAACAAATATTTATGGTGGTGGGGAAGAGGGGGAGGGAGTGCACAGGGAATGTTTCCATCACCTGACCTTGCTAGGCAACTGCGTACAGTCTTGTCTTCACTGAGGTTTGCATATGCCATACTGCTTCTCTGGGAGTCGCCGTGGTGGAGCGGCTAGACGCTTGCCGCGGATCGGAAGGTCGTGGGTTCGCTCCATGGCGGAGCCATACTTTTTTCATAAATGAACTTAGCTCCCAGGTCGACCCAACCATGAGTGGGTACCGGGTGCAGACCTGGGAAGTAGAGGCGGCAGGCCTGATGCTGACCACATCACCCATCTTGTGCCGATTGGTTTATAAAACATAGGTCCAACCCTATATGCCCTGTACGCCTAAAGGCGTGGAAAAGGGTCCTTTATTTTCCTTACTTTGTATTGCTTCTTTTAACAGCATACAATTGATAGTGTTGTGATCCGAGAGAAGTATTCCTCTTCTCCTCCGTTTTTCTTGTGATGAGTGTCAGTCACACTAGCCGTAAAACTATACTCAGAAAACGAACCCAGTACTTTTATAGCTGGCTGCAAACGGTTTAACCACTTCGCAATGGGGGTTTACAGGGGCTGACACGTAGCCCTTTCGTGAACTGTACAAATGTCAGGTGTGCCACTGCAGATAGTATAGGTAAAACGGATATGTACACGCAAAACGCAAGTTCTTGAACAAGACTCAAGTCCAGAAGTGGATGAACAACCAAAACTTTCCGCGGGAATTTACATCCGGTAAATTCGAAGAAGAAGAAGAAGAAGAAGAAGAAGAAGAAGAAGAAGAAGAAGAAGAAGAAGAAGAAGAAGAAGAAGAAGAAGAAGAAGAAGAAGAAGAAGAAGAAGAAAAAGAAGAAAAAGAAAAAGAAGAAGAAGAAGAAGAAGAAGAAGAAGAAGATGAAGAAGAAGAAGATGAAGAAGAAGATGAAGAAGAAGAAGAAGAAAAAGAAGAAGAAGAAGAAAAAGAAGAAGAAGAAGAAGAAGAAGAAGAAGAAGAAGAAGAAGAAGAGAAGAAGAAGAAGAAGAAGAAGAAGAAGAAGAAGAAGGAGAAGAATTAGAAAGTGCGTTGCCAACGCCTAAGCCACTGTGGCCGTACGTGCCAATATAGCGTTTAAACAGGACACATGCTAAGCCTAATAGAGGCCTTAATCAATTAACACGTTCTATAAACGTTTCTCGATCCGCCCTAGACACACTTTGAACAAAGCCACAAGGCAATTACCAAACTACCACCATGTCTGTCATTCTGTTTGTACTGCACCGACTCTTGTATATTTATTTTTTACATAATGCCCGACTGTGTAACCGAAGTGGCACGCTGTTCAATCGTATAAGCGGTGGCTGAGTGCAGACAGTTTCACACTGACTGACTGTATGTTGCCCAGATAAAGAAGGCAGCTAGACAATGAGCTTGAAAAGACAAGGAGGACATAGGGTGAGCTGCATACGATGGCAAAGGATATGACGACCTGGCTGAGTTGGTTCAGGGACCTATGCTCCATTAGTGGATAAAAGGGCAGAAGTAGACAAAGAAGAAAAGACGGCTGTGTTGGTAAAAAATACCACCAACAACACCAACAATAACAACAACTCTAACAATAACAACACAGCCAACAACAACAACAACATACGGTGGGGGAGGGGAGAAGGTTCTCATGCCTCACCGTTAACAAATTTTCTAGGCAAGGCAGTAAGGAGACCTCAACGGGTTTAATGCTAGTTTAATAGCATAATAATAATAATGCTATGCTGAATGACAAATAAAAATAATAATACGTTTCAAATAATATGAAATGCACAAAGAATAGTTATTAAGATAATGTCTAAATATGGATAAAGGGGACCGCTTAGTTCTTGTCATCAACAAAAATGTGTTTGGAGGGGATGGTGGGGTGGGGGTCAAGTGGTTTGAGCTCATGGACTGAGTTGCCCATGGATAAAAGCCATTACTGCAGTTGTAGCTTTTTTGTTAACAGTCAAAGTGATTCACTGAAGGCTATGGTTGTGAAGTTAAAACAGTAATGACATGCCAACAATAGCTCTAAAGTGAGGGTAATTACACGACAAATGTGGTGCCGAAAGCTAATTATATTCTTCTTCGCTCTCCCAGGATGTATACAGGTTTGTGATAGCCTTCCGTCTGTCTACAACTCTAGACGATGGTCCTCAAATATGCTAGAAGGAGGCAGAATAATAAAAGCCCACGGAGATACCAGTTGGGCTCTAACTCGACCAGGGGACATAGCGTCCAATACGGCTTTATCTAAAACTTCTTTTTATTTACGACACCAGCGGTCGACATCATTTTTTCTAGCTAGTACTTATTTCCTGAATTCCCATTCGTCTCAGAGCTTCACGTGATAAGACACATAGGTGGATTTTTCTCGCAGAGATCACAGTTTATTCAGTGATTTTCATATTCTTGTTCGTAGGACTGTCTACGCCATGTGCTGATGGAAGTTTGCTACCCGTCACGTTCATTTGTAGTTAGTGACTGTGATGATGTAAAGCTGACTAGCTACTTATCGTCTGGTTTGAGATCTGCTGGTGAACTGGGTAGCAGCTGTCCTATATTCACGTCGGGTTGCCCTCCCGCTGGGCTCATGGACCTCAGAACCATGCAGTTTGGCCCCAGGACTGCCACAGGGATCCGCCATCTCGCCTGTGCTCTTTAACGTGTAAACGAGCAAGATTGCAAGCCTAGAAGCACCAGGAGTTGGAAGGATACTGACTTTTGAGGATTATATACTTGCATATAGGCGGGGGGAGATAGGGAACAAACAGGATGGAAGCTACAAGCGACAGTAGACAAAGTGACTGAGTGGTGTAAAGAAATGAGGACTGTCGTCCACCCGGAAAAGGCGCTGGTTCTGTGGTGTTCTCTAGACAACAGGATCGTTAGAGCTAATGTCCCAAGTCTCACGATAGATGGTAGAGACGTCAACAGAGAGAGCAAACTGAAGTATCTGGGAATTACATTTGACAGGAGCCTGTCCTTTAAGGACCGTGTGGAGAGTGTTGTGACAGGATGCCAAAAAGTGCACTTAAGACTATGGCTGCAATTGACAGAGCAGAGAATGCTTTTCACACTATATCAGCACCTGATCCTGTCAGTGGTTAATTATGGCCTGGGACTGCTTACCGTCTCAAAGAGTCAGATGGACAAACTAAAGCGATACAGAACGCAGCTACGCGGGTCATTCTGGGTTGTACCAGAGACACTCCAGTGGTGTGTTGCAGGTAGCGCAATGTGCTGCGGGCGAAGTAATATCTCAAGGTAGCTGCAGACACAGACACCCGTTTGCACGAAGCTCTGG